AAACTTCTTTTATTAGATTAAATAACTAGAAACGAATCTGGCAAATAATCGATACAGATTTAATAGAATTACTCTATGAAATTCTTCGATCTATATGAAATATTCGATGTACGGCAATAATTTTGTAAGCATATATTAATCCAGACTGAATCTATTGTATTTATTGTTTGAATAAGTAAAATTTGTTTTCTAATTGAATAGATCGTCATAAAAATAAACTTATATAAAATCTCAATACAACAGACAACAACATTTTATCAACTGAAATAGTCTTTAATCGATTTATTTAAAAAATAAAATAACATCAACCATTTCTGTTTTTTTTCACTATTGTCTATTTCTCTTTATGATAAAATTAACATATTGACAATAAATAAAATATGTCTAATTTAATCATATACTAACAAAAGTTGATTTAAAAACTATGACCATCTTTTCTTTTTAAATAAAAAAAAAAACTCAATTGATTTTCATCGTTATGCAACTCCGAGGCTACAGGTCCATGTTTTTTGTGAATTCGAACTTGCAGCTTCCTATATGCAATACGTCATAGTGTATTATAATTCTTCATATATTTCAAACATGTAGAAATCTTCTAATCAATATTTTTAAAAAAAATATTAAATTTTTGATATATACATCTAAAAATAATGATCGATTTGTAACAATATCATCCCATGTTTGTATTGAACTACGTATAACATCTGATAATTGCCATTGTGATAATAAATTATAATGTATACGTTCAAGAAATAAATATCGTATTGTTGTATCATTTTTATTATTTGTTAAATAACGATTTTCAAGAGATTTTAATAATGGTAAATTTTTTTCAATAAATATAAGAAATTGATCAAGTTCATAATAAGGTTGAATTAATTGAATTGTTGTTTTACGACCATATTCACTTAAACGACTTAATGTTGACCAACGTAGTAAAAATTATTCTTTAGCATATTGAATATAATATTTTGCACCTGAAAAATAAAACAAATAAATTAATCCATTTATTATACAAAAATTAAAATAAATTTTGTTATTCAACATTCGAAATCTCTGCTAG